ATGCGCATGCTCAGACTGCTGCGGACGCAGGGTGGTGTTTGAGTTATTGGTAAGTACCTGTAAATCTCTCCAACGGTAAGTCCTTTGTGTCGGTGGTGAGGCGACGCTGCTTTACTATCGGTTTCAAACACCGTAATGCTGAAGACAAACACGTCACATCACATCAGTTCTTATTCATGCATTAGTAAAACTCCCCAAATCACATTTCAACAATTCATGCAAAACAGTATTGTTAGTGAATGCATTGTTGGCTATATTTGAAAAATTGCTTTTTGAAAGTCGTTTTGTAGAAAAGCTTGTTTCCGTCACAGTACTACAAATTAAAAGGTAATTCTGACTTATCGCATTTGGAATTTTCATATTTCGCAATTCTGACTTTTTCCTCGCAATTGCAAGTTTATATCTAGCAATTCTCACTTTTTCCTCAAGTTCATTTCTCGCAATTCTGACTTTTTAAATCTTGCAATTGTCACTTTTTTTATCGCAATTGAATTCTGACTTTATCGCATTTGGAAGTTTGGATCTTCACATTTCTGACTTTTTCCTCGTAATTGCAAGCTTATACCTTGCAATTGTGACTTTTTATCTCAGAATTGTTTGTTATAAAGTCAGAATTGTGACTTTTTATCTCAGAATTGCGTGTTATAAAGTCAGAATTGTGACTTTCTGACTGTTTCCTCGCATTTGCAGGTTTATTTTGCAGTTCTGACTTTCTTACAATTGCAAGCTTATATCCCGCAATTCTGATTTTTTTCCTCCTTTTTATTCTGTGGCGGAAACAAGCTTCTATAATATTTGGATAAAAGCGTCCGCTAAATCAATACATGTATACAGATGCATTTTTTCTGTTACTATATGTTTGTTAAACCAGAAATATATTAATTAGTTATCCCGAAAGTTTATATGAGCAAATACCTTTGCGTCTCTTTATTGTTTTGCTGTGTGGAAGGAGAATATAAACTCTGAAAGCATTGTGGCCCTTCTTGATACTTTTGTCCTGAAGCTCTTTGACGTCCGTCAGGGAATTGAGTGCGCATCGGAAGTTTGCTTTCCATGTCTTGGGATCGGGTTTGTCTATGCCAGGTTTGTATCTCCCTAAAATCCATGAAGGGAGATCTGTTTGCATGATTGGCAATATTTTGAGGAAAGAACCAATATTTACAGAGTGTTTGGTGAAAGTGCATGCAGTATACATTGTTGCAGACATGAACGAGCTGATCTTGAAGGTTCACCTGTTCAATGTTAACAGCCTAAGAAGCTGATCAGAGGTATAGTGACCACAAACTATTCAGATGTACTGCAATTAAAAATGTAAACAAATTGTTGCATTATATATCAAAATATATTCTATATATAAATACAGCACCATTTTAGTCAAACATTTCACAGCATAAAATAGAAAAAAGAGGACAAAAGGTTTCTGATAACATGTTGAACATGATAGTTATTGTGATTCTCTTCACATCGAGATCAGTTGGGTAAAAGTGGCTTGGAAAAGTGAAGTTAATTCTGAGAAAAGCTCTGGAGCTGCTTCATTGGATATTTCGTATCTAATGAAAAGACACTTTTTAGTGCCACTTTAGTGTCCAAATGCTTTTTGGGGCCGCTTGTCTGGAATCCGATATTGTGGATGAGTTTCTAGTAGTCTCGAAACATCGAGTGAGAAATGACCGTACAGCAAATCTGCAGTCACCAGGTTCAGACCTGGGCAATTTTAACGGAGCTGGTGTCGTTTGGTTACGATGTTCAATGCATGTGCTACTATGCATGTAAATAGCAGATTGTTAACAGTAAGCATTATCATTCTTCAAAATGAAGTTCTGAAGAACTATTATTCTGATTATTTGGGGGAAATTTGCAAGTACACTCTTAAAAATAAAGTTTCCAAAAAAGGGGTTTTGTAGCAACGCAATAGAATAAATTTTTTGGTTCCCCAAAGCACCTTTCAGTGGTCAGGGGCCCGTTTCAATAAGGAGGTTCAACCAACTCTGAGTTAAAGCTTGAACTCAGAGTTAACTTACCCTGAGATGGGAAACTCAGAGTTTTCGGTTACAGAACAGCTGAAATGAGTTAGTTCAATCAACTCTGAGTTGACTGACTCTGAGTTAAGCGCTTGCACCACAGCTATAAAAAGCCATTATCAATGGAGCGCAGATATTACGAGTCACCATGGCAACAGCGCCAGACAAAAAGAGGTGTTGGGTATAATTAATTACCAAGTAATCTAAATATTGTAATTTAATTAAAGGGATTACTCTTAATTCTTCTTTAATTTAAAATAAAATATGATGCAATTACACTAAATAGGCTACTGCATAAACTATAGACCAATTCAGTATAAAACAATAGTGGATTTAGCATACATTTTTAAAAGGTATATTTTTATATAACCTTCTCCCTCTACACACTTTGATCAATTCAAGAATAATTCATGCAATTGTATTGTTAATTTGAAAGCATTAAAAGTGCAGTTTCTTGTCTCTCCTCCTTGTATTAATCAAGTGGTTGAGGTTGATATAGGATTTAGTAATATGTAGACCAATACTTTCTAGAGATAGTAATTATTACATTAATCTAACTACACCGTTGAAGATGTCATTTGTTGTTAATAATTCATAACTATTTTAGAGTAACTGTTATAATATCAGAGGTGAAACTGGAAGAATGTTATTCAACCTAAAGTAGTCTACTATTACTTTGATACATTTTTACTTAAGTAAAAGTAAAAATACCAGTCTAAAAAATCTACTCAAGTAAAAAGTAGTTAATTTAAAACATGAGTAAAAGTTGCTGAGTAACTTGTTTAACAGCGGGGGTGGGGTGGGGGACTCCCCCATGTGGGGTTGTAACGTATGAGAGTTTCACAGTATGAGAACCGTCTCAGAAAATATCACGGTTTATGGTATTAAACAATTGTTAAATATATAAACTGCATTATTAAATTACGGTTATTATTTTCATCAGTTAAAATGACAGTTAAATAAATTAAACATTTGTTCAATAAAACATAATATCAACTAACTTCAATAATTGATTATGATTATGATTGACATCTTATTTTTTATCATGAATAACTTATTAAATTTTATTACAATTTTTTCAATGATTTAATAGAAATATATTATCCAAAACAGTGGTAATCAAATAAAAGTTTAGCAAATGTTTTAATCCTTTAATTTTTTGGCAAAGTGCTGCAAAACAGATTTAGTCAATTAAACCATGGACAAACAATATATATATATATATATTCCTTAAAGAATGTGTAAATACATTTTAGTATTATTGTTGGTGTTTAAACAGCACTTAGGTTCACAGAGTAAGTTACCATGGTAACTGACTCTGAGTATAAGTTACCTCTCTTTCAGAAACGGGCTTGACTTACTCTGCTTTCTCGGGTTTGATATACCCCCCTTTCTGAAACGGAAACCCAGAGTTTCCCTCATTTCAGGGTTAACATACTAAGAGTTTTCACTTAACCTCCTTTTTGAAACAGGCCCCAGATCTTTAAAGAACCATGTTTTTCTCAGTGTGTAAAACACTTTAAAATATAAAGAACCTTTGGTTACACTGTTTTTTACCAATTTTTGCCATTTTGAGACGTCCGAGATTATTTTGAGACGTCCGTCACTTTACCTGTGTGCATCGCCCAGTTTCGGAACAGAGTCGCGTCCTTCTCGATGTTCCAGCCGTGTCGGGCCGCATGTTTCCAGGGAATCTGGAAAACTCTGGCTGACTGCAGTGTAAAGAGAGCACAGAAATATCTACAGTCTTAGAAAAACAAAAAGATTATAGAGCCCTATAGAACTCTATCGAGCCGTTTCTTCAGATCTGTATTGTAGGGTATGTGATATGATTAAAATCTTTCCGTTAAATTTACGGTTAAAAAAAAACGTCAGCAACATTTTAGGTTTTTAGAGTTAAATTAAATTTGCAGCAACAACTATTTAATTATCTAATATAATGTTATTATACCAACCTATTGAAGCAATATATATAATATCTGTTTTATACCAAAACAATGACAGCCACAGCCACCAATCACAATGGAGATGAGAGTCATTATGTCATTATTAGTCAAAGCTAATATAAAGAAGCTGCACAGTGTCATACACACAAACACTAAACACCATCATGGTAGCATGATTACCATTAAAAAATGCAATAAAAATTAATTTGACATCAAATGTAACGTAAAACCCTAATGTACATAACTGATCTTTGAGGAATCGTATTTGTTTCAACAAAAAAACACATCAAATGTGTGGGAATGTCAATTTACGTTTTTTTTTATTTTTTTTTTTCACTGTAAATTAAACGATGACTTGTTCTTTTTCACTTCCACGTCCCGGTATTTTACTGTAAAATTAGCTTAAAGGTATATTTAGATCTATCACAGTTATTCATAGTATGGAAACTTTTTTTAACCAATCAACTGTAGCATTTTTACAGTTTTACCGTATTTTACCGTTAAAATCACAATAATTTTTTACAAATCAAACCCTGTAAGTGTGGAGCATCAGATCGGACCTTGTCTAGCCACACGACTCCAGGGTATCTGCCCGAATCGATCTGTTCCTCCAGCCACGGCCGTAAGCGCAGGCGTCCCTGATGCATCTTCAGTTCTGGTGCGAGTGTGCTTCACTCCTGAGTCTCCCAGGTGTTCACTCGATGCAGTCATGAGCGGCACACACTGAAACACATCACTGACAGTCACATTAGCAACAGGAAACATCACACCTCACTCGCTCTGCTGGAGTCAAAATTGAAATCTCAGCGTCCCCGTACCTGCACAAACCGGTTTGGAGGGTTTCCTTCCAACCGCAGGAAGATTTCTGTGGTATTGAGGGGCCGACCTCAGTCACGCCTCGTCGATCCGACGCTTCTGATGTCAAACCTGCTATACATCAGTTCAGAGGAGTCACAAAGTCATTATTACTGCTGGGACAAACAACTCAACCAAAGCACTGCAGAAGAACTAATCTGGCATCTGTGTGCAGCTCAATACGCTGAGATGTCTTATAGTGGCATATTTGCATAAGAGTAACTCGTTAGATGCTTATCAGTCAATCTCAGTAATGTTGGTGAGTCATTCTTTGCTTTGACTGATTTCCTGTGAACTTCATGCATCTCAGGTATTTTCCAATGAAACAATCTTTGGTCTCACTCTTGTCGTGTGCAAAGATGTTGTTCAACTTCCAGAAAACAAACAAACACAGCTTTTCTTCAACCAATCAGAAGGCTGTAGTTTGGTATCAGATAAAAGATAAAAACATTATGAATCTGGACCAGCTCTGATTAGCTGTTTGATAATACAGGTCAATGAGGAGAGTAGCTCACGTATTCTCTCACTTTTTAGGTACACCTGTTCAACTGCTGGTTAATGCAACTGTCTAATCAGCCAATCACAGGACAGCAAATCAGTACATGTACAGTAGGTGTACTCAGTACATGTAGGTGTGTAGACATGATCAACTGAGCTTCAGAATGAGGAAGAAATGTGATTTAAGTGACTGAACGTGGCATATGGATGAGTGTTCCAGAAACAGCTGATCTGCTGGGGTATCAGGCATAGCCATCTCTAGTGTTTATGATGGTCTGAGAGAAAGAGGAAATATCCCGTGGGAGAAAATGCCTTGTTGATGCCCGAGGTCAGTGGAGAATGACCAGACAGGTTCAGCTGATAGAAAGGCAGCAGTAACTCAAACTAGAAAGTTCTTTTCCTGAAGAAAATGTAAGTTGTGCTTGGAGTGGCACAACATCGGAACTTGGTTGCTAGGGTGTTTCTAGGCTGTTGCTAGGGTATACTAGATGGTTGTTAGGGTTTTGCTAGGTGATTGCTAGGGTATTCTGAGTGGTTGTTAGGGTGTTGCTATGCAGTTGATACGGTACTTGGCATGGTTGCTAGGCAGTTATTATGGTATTCTAGGTGGTTGTCAGGGTATTACTAGGCGGTTGCTAAGTTGTTCTAGAGGGTTTCTGTGGTTTTGCTTAGTGGTTGCTAGGATATCCTGGGTGGTTGCTAGGGTGTTGCTAAGCAGTTGCTAAGATGTTCTGGGTGGTTGCTAGGGTGTTGCTGAGATGTTCTGGGTGGTTGCTAGGTTATTGTTTGGTGGTTTCTAAGGTGTTCTGGGTGGTTGTTATGTACTTGTTTAGTGGTTGCTAGGATATCCTGGGTGGTTGCTATGTGGCTTGCTATGGTAACATGGGTGGTTGCTAGGGTGTTGCTGTGGTAACATGGGTGGTTGCTAGGGTGTTGCTAAGCAGTTGCAAAGATGTTCTGGGTGGTTGCTAGGGTGTTGCTTGGTGGTTTCTAAGGTGGTTACTCAGATGGTTACTATTAAGTTTTTATAGAGTTTTTAGCATGTGCTTAGCCTGATTTAACACTTAGCTAATCACTCAAAAGAGTCAAAAGAGCCAGCCCCCATCTCCATACGATGTTCTGATGCAGAGATATAGGTTTTCCCCTACGGTTGTTAGGGTACTCGGTTTAATTGCTAGGGAGTGGCTTGGTAACTGACAGTGATGATGTTACTCCAAAGTCTGCTTGTCAGTATGAATGATATAAATCAAACACAACTCCTCTATGACGTTCAGATTTGAAGATATTCCTCTTTGGATTTTGGTTGCTAGGGTGCTTGACAGTGGTTGCTAGGGTGCTCGATAGGGGTTGGAATTTGGATTAAAAAGGGAGTCTAACCTGGAACTAGCAAGGCATACCTAATAACGTACGTACCCAATGTTTGAGTCTTTTCTGCAGCTCGGGTAGAATATCTCAACCTTCAACCTTAATCTGGTCTGGAATGACATCATTCATCTGTGTCAGCTTATGTTTACTCAGACCTGCATCATTAAACACAAGGCATCATCCCTAATGTAATCCAAGAGGGAAACAGCAGCAGAACATGCCAGGACAATAACTAATGAGGAACTAAAGAAATCACAGATTATGTACACACAAGATGACAAACAAATGAAAGCAGACTCAGGGGAAACTAAAGTGTAACCAAGGAAACAAACACATGAAGTAAAAACAACAATGGGAACAAAATAAACTAAAAGTGCCAGAAGACCATAGCCTAAATGTTACAGTAATGCAGTGATTCCTTCATTGAACTGAGTTTGTTTTTATCCATTCATCCACCTGTTTATAAATGATTGCTCAGTTGATTTGTAATTTCACAGCACACATGAGCCCCCATTAACTTCACTTCACACACTGACCCAATACAGGACCAACATTACCAAAAACTGCACAGCCCCAGCCAGAGCTTTTTAACATGATTTGTATTCCATTGATCTCGGTAGTTCGCTGTTCTGGTGTTTCAGAGTCTCCTCAGTGTTAAACCGAGCCGCAGAATCTTTACAGAAATGTCATGTGATTTTTCTTCTTGTGGCTCGCCATCCCCCGTCCCAACCCGTGTTCCAAGAACGTTCTGTGAATGTTCCCATTAAGTTATCAAAACGTTATTATGGAATGTTCTCTAAATGTTAAAAAAAAATCTAAGTTATATATGAAGAGTTCAGATGCAAAAGCCTCTAAATGCCATTTGAAATTTTCTTCTTTAATGATGTTGTTTATCAAGCTTGTATATTTAAGTTCAGTGATTTCACTTAAATAACAATTTATTAATTGTTTATGTAATTATCATTGCCATTTAAGTGAAATTACTGAACTTAAATATACAAGCTTGATAAAAATTATCATTCTAGAAGAAAATTTCAAATGGCACGTAGAGGCTTTTGCATCTGAACTCTTCATATATATATATATATATATCTATATGAATATCAGATGTGGACTCCACGTGTGCCAGATGTGGGCCGGATCTGGGCCGACACCATGTTGCTCTTTTTTGTGGTTAAATGAGCGTTAAGAAAACATTAAACTTTAGAAATCTTCAAACATAATGGGAATGTCCTGAAACAAGGAGGAACATTTAAAAAACATTAGATGATGTCCAACTAAAAGTTTTTCGGAAAAAAACATGGCATGAATGATTTATAAATAATGTTTATTAATGCTAAATGTTGTGTTGGCTTGAACTGTTACGCTGTTAATATGCTCTCCCAGAACTAGACAGTATTGATAGTCTGCAATTATTTTACGGACTGGTCTAAAGTCGCATTGAACTGAAATGATGTATTATTATTGTTATTATCAGTATTGGTATTGTTAATATTTCTGCTGCTATACCACTGTCACTTCTGTCAGGACGACTATTGTGCCAGAACTAATGCTACACTTGATTATTATTATTACTACTTACTACAAATATTAATATTTTTATGATTGTTTCAAATTGTCTAGATATCTGTTAATCACTAAAAAATAGATAATAAAAAATGTTATCACACTGGAATAACCTATTCATTAAATTGATTACTGTACCTGTAAACACTATCTATATTTCTTTATATTTAGTTTGTTTGTTTTTTCGTTTTTTTATCCCCTTTATGTGTACTTGTGTTTGTCATTTTGTCTATTACTTTGTATGCCACATGTCTTGTTCATAAAAAAAAAAAAAAAATGCTCTGCCACTAGGGGTCGCTATTATCCTGGAGCGTTTAGCTACTTCACACGTTACTTCTGCGTTTTCTTTTATTGGTACTAATGTAAGATACAACACTAACGTTTGGAGAGCATTTTAAAGGGCAGATAACTCTGAATGAACGCTCTACTACTGTTACTGTAAGAAACGTGTGCTCTGTGTTCCCAGTCCGCGCTCTGCTGGTGTAGTTCCCCTGTCAGCCACCAGAGGCCCTCAGTTAAACTCTCTCTGTTAAACTCTCTCTCTCTCAGTTTAACTCTCTCTGTTTCTCTCTCAGTTTAATGCTCTCTATTTAACTCTCTCTCACTGTTAACTGTCTCTGTTGGCCGTTTGTTCATGATGTTCTTGTGTTTCTTCAGTTTTCTTCAGTTCAGCTTTATGTCATTTGTAATATAAGCCCCGCTGGTCTAGACTACTGCTACCTACATTTCTTTGCCCTCATCATCTTGCAGTTAATGTTTGTTTGTTTGTTTGCTTGCTTCTGCTGACCTCTGCCTGTGTGTTGGACTTTGTTCTGTCCGCTTTAGGATCCTCCAGTGTGTGGCTTCACTGCTGTCTCATTCAGTGCATTATCTGATAAACACTGATGTCACCTCTGGGAACAAGGTAATTACTCTCAGTTCTCAAATAAACAGTTGCACTGACTGATGGATTTTGCATAGATGTTGTACACACACACACACTCACTCACTCACTCAATCATTTTGGGATCAGTGTGTATTGTGTCACTGAGAGGTTTTATAAAAGTTAAACTCACGTCCTCAAAAATCAAGCCCTAAAGTGTTTTTAACATGAAAAACCAAGCAGATCTCCTGTCCATCATCATCTGTCCCTGATATACAAGACCATATTTTAGTGTTTGTCTTCTGTAGTGTTCATGTTTTTAAACATTATCTTATATCTAAATCAAAAAATCTTTGTGTAAAAAGTCAGTTTTTCATAAAAAAGTACAAAACTTGCCTCTGCGATAAAGTGGAGTTGAACATAAATAAATGTATTTTGCTACATTCCACCACTGGTTATTTGGAAAATTAAACTAACAAAATTGATTGTCACAACATTTACAAATTGTCTCTAACTATCTGCTTCTCAATGACAAATTTGAGTTAAATATGTTCACCAGAGAATTTATTTAAGAGAATAAACTATATAAAATTGCATTTTGGTAATATTTACATCTTTACATTTACATTTATTAATTTAGCAGGCGCTTTAAT